CAGTCTAAAAAATATGAAATTTTGAGCAGACTAAAGACATGATCTACCTCATTGAAATCTTGGTTCGAAAGAAAGAGATGGCATCCAAGCACATTAAAATGGCTGAGAAAGCCACTAGGGGGACATTTTGAGCTTCTGATTGGTTATTCATATATATAGAAGTAAATGTATATAAGGGGTCATTTCCAATAATGGAAAGAGGTGAATGAGGTGCTACTCTGTTTGATTTATTACATGAACATTATCTTAGCAAATTGAAAAAAAAAGATGCTCTTATTTGATATTCTAGTTTGTCAGTATCGGTAGTTTGAGTTCCTAATTCATATGAAACTATAGATTTAGTATTTTGACATTACAAACATCTAATTTAAACCAGTGCTGCATTCAACATACCACGTGACACACAAAAATCGATGTTTAACTGTGTTTTTTTAATGTTTACTTTTAAATTAAGTAAGGTATGAAACTAAAATATCAATTATAATCTAAAGTTTGATACTAAACTTATTGATATAAATTCATGAAATAGTAGTTAAATAAAATTTTGAATGTGAGTCAACAATTGCGATAACATGGCTTTTTACCCATAACCCATCTGGATAAGGTTAAGTTTTACTGGGTTTGAGATAAATCCTCACTTTGAATATGAAGTAGTCCGAAGGTTATTGAAGATGAAAAAAAAAGTATCTATAAGATGAATTTAACACTGAGAAGAATATTATTATAGTTTCTACATTCATAAATTTTTGGATTTTAACTAATTTCACTAAACAAGCATTTTATAATATTCTCCTTCCAACTTCTCTCTAAGCACTGAATGAGTACTCGACCAGTTGATTTTGGAAAAATAAATTTTCTCAATTTCTGATTCTTCAAGAACCTCGAGGCCAAACTTGTTGAACTGATATGTTAATAATAACTGGATGACTATATTTTTTATACAAGTCTACAAAAATACAACAAACTGTATGTTTTCAGTTGTATTGTGGGACTAGAGACTCTCAGAACTTCTGCATTTTAAAGTTTGTTAATAGTTCAACAGATGAGCATGGTATTTAAGTTCTGGTGATAATTTATTTCACTGGAAATCTTTTATTATGTTATTTGTTTTGTTTGTAATTAAAAATTTGTGTTTATTTATCCTTAATAATAACAAAAGCAGTTGTACCAACTCATTGTTCACCAATATTTCACTTTTCTCATGGTGTATTAAGTAAATGTACTTATAATCAAAATTTAAAAAAAACTGATTTAGCATACTGTGAATTATTTATTTTCTTGTATTTTCATGATAAACTCTGTGGGTTAAACAATATAGAGTTAATGTATATTTACTAAATAAACTCAAAGAACATGAACTCTGAATGTATAAATTAAAATTATAAACCTGAATTTTTTTTTATAGCTCAATCCAGAAACAGATGGCTTTCATGTTAGGAAGGCAGCAGATTTTCCTGGAGCTGAATGAAGATTTAGATGATTATGATGATCTTGTTGAGACTATGTCTAATTCACATTTAAACAACCATTTTTTGGCTTTAGCCAGAGAGGTAAGCTTGCAGACAAGTATTTTGTTAAAACTGAAAATTTATCTTTGTTAAAATGAAAAACATTAATACAGTTACTCCCCTGAGTGAAGCCCTCCAGTGGCCCTATGGTAAGGCTGTGGGTTAATGATGCTAAAGTTTGAGTTTCAATTCCCATGGTGGACAGAGGACAGATAGCCCATTATGCAGCTTTATGCTTAACAACAGCTAAGCCCCTTAACTTTTTCCATATGAGGGTAGTGGATCAGAATGACCTTGTAATCTCAAAGTAACCATCATACTTGAACTTTTAATATAGTACATGTATCTTCATGAAATTTGGCAAGCTTTCACTAAACATTACAAATCTTTTGTACATAAAAGAATCAGATTTTCTACTTAAATACTTTTACTAAAGATTTGTCCATGAATATGTGGAGTCAAAGTGTTGACTGTCTGAGTGCAAAGTGGTTTTATGTTAAGATTAAAAATACTTTCTTCATCTGAAAATCTTCAATTTCTTTTTAGTTCTTCTTAGTTTCTCTACCCTAGCTATATATAGACTCAGTTGATTTAGTTCTAGAGATTATGCAAATGAAATGTGAAAACTGTAAGATAAAAAAAGTATTTTTATACTTGGTGTGAAATTCACTTTGCAGGTGAGCTAAATACAGTGTGAACAACTGCATTAAATAAACAATTTTTAGTAGAAAAAATCAAAACTAACTATTTTATTTTTCTGAAACTACATAATTTTAGGAAAGTTTTTGTCAAATTTAAAACAATTTCATTCCCTAGTTTTATTTTTCAAACAAAATATGATGAGAGTGATGTTAGGTATTTAAAACATGAGTACCTGGTAGTCATAGGGTTCAACTTTTACTGTCCTTAACATAACTAGAATAACTTTTTTATTCAGAAAAGCTAGTGAAACTGTGATTCTTGAGTGTACAGATTTTATTTAATTATCCAATACGAGTATTCTGTTTCACTTTGCATATATGTTTAGAAAATAAAATATTTCTGATTTTCCGTCGCAGAGGTGGATATAAAAATGTGAAAAATGTAAAAGATAGTTAAATGTGCTTAAAGATTATTTGGTAAATATGCTGTGTGAAAAATATTTTTGGTTCTGTGATGTCTTTAGTAACTTTGATTGTTTATTTTAGTTAGACATTATGGAGCCCAAAACTCCTGAAGATATCTACAAGTCTCATTTAGACAATACAAGTAAGTTTTATCTGGTTTGAGCTGAATAATGTAAAATATTTAATGTTGCAGTGTTAAAAATGCCACAAATCTAGTGTTCAAGCATAATTTTTATTATGAATATTAGACATTGGTTACATTGTTTCACCAGCTTCTTGCACTTAACACCTGCTTACAAGATTTTCTATAGAATAAAAACCTCCTAGATACTCACCCACTTATGATAGACAAGAGATAGATATGAAATGTTATTTTCCATGCCTCTGTTTTGAAATATGTGGTGGGCAGATTAAGACGAATTGGAAAAATACATCTGCAGTCAAGCATGATTTTTATTACAAATACTGGACCTGGAAAGTTTTGTTTTATAAAGCTTTAAATTTAAGATTTAGTTCTTCTATAGGATATAGCACTGTGTTGTATATTTATGATCCTTTATTCACTTCAAATCAGTATTCTAGTGATATTCCATTGGAAATGCTGTTTTTAAATTTTTATTTCAGTGATTTGGAGACTATCTGTTTAACTAGGCCAAAATGCAGAACAAAGTAACAGATGACACTGATGAAGACTTGTTAGTTACTTGACCTTTTCAAATTAAGTAGCACTTGTGGTAACAACTAAAATTGAATCAGTCTTCTTAATTACTTGACACAATTTTTTACATGCACATAATTGTTTCAAAATTGTCAGCTTTCAGATATTTTTCTGTTTCCTAAAATTGGGATTAATCTCACTTGTATCTGTTAAAATACAAGAATATTTTATCACTTACTTAACAACATTGAGGAAGGTACAACCAAAAAATGTCTCTTTAGTGATTGCTATGGGATGTGATTGAGGGAACTGTAATAATTATTTTGGGCCATGCTAAGGTTTTTTTTTATGAGATCTGCTTTAAACTGTGATGTTTGGTTTAATTATATTTAGTAAGTGATAAAACTACTTCACAAGTGTTTTGTTTATATGATCCAGCAGGCCAGCAACTCTTCAGAAATGTGTCATCATTATTAAAACCACCACCTAATATGGTTTCTCTTAATCATACTGCTGTATGTGATTGTAAATTTGGGTTTAAAAATGTAACAGCCTGTTATTTAAACAGTTTAGTTCTTATAAACATTTGACATCAGTATTATTCCAAAATCAGTACTAAACATTGTAATAGAAGAAACTACAAAGGCAACATAAATAGAAAATTAAATTAAATATTTTTAAAGAAAAACTAAAAAAAAAAATCGGTAAAAATCAACTGTACGATAAATTAGTAACCTATAATTGATCTTGGCCTTGTTTTTAAAAACTTAACTAATATTGTGAACTTTTGGTGTTCAATATTTAGTTTTCTGCATGAAATAATACTGTTCGTTATTTCTAATGTTTTTGTAAGATGGTATGTGTTTTCCAGGGGCTTTGTTGTGTAGCATTTCATGTTTTTCTATAAATTAACTAAAACCAAACCTCATTTTAAAAGGCATCACAAATTTATTAAGTACATGATATAAATATAGAAAGGCATTAGCTTAGATCACCTGTTCAAACACACACATGTTATTACTTGTCACCTTTTGATAGTTCTTTACCAGATTAGTTAGTGTTATTAGTAGAATATTTAATACATTTAGTTGTGGTGTCATAACAAAATAACCAAAGCCTATTTCAGTTCTATCAGCCCCACACTGGCACAGCAGGATGTCTGCAGACTTACAATGCTAGAAACCGGGTTTCGATACTTGTGGTGGGCAGAGCACAGATAGCCCATTGTGTAGCTTTGTGTTTAATTACAAACAAACACAGTTCTGTCACAGTTATGGCCAACCATGTCATGTTTAAATTGAAATATACAAGTGGTAAAATAGAGTATGAGGGATATGTACAATACAGTTTCACAATATAATTCCATATTTTTATATATATACACTTAATTCCCCAAATACCAGAAAAGCTTATTTTGATTTTTAAATACTTTTTTTTAAGAGTTCTAATACTTACTATTGAATTTCTAAATATATGCTTTAAATCAGTAAATGTAGACAATTGAATATTATAATAGATTCACAATTCACGTTTCAGGGCCAACCTTTGGACAAGGAGGCAATGTTGACTCAGCCAGACAGAACTTAGCATCTAGTTTTGTTAATGGACTGGTTAATGCTGCCTTTGGCCAGGATAAGCTACTTGTAGAAGATGGAAATAAATGGTTGTATAAAAACAAAGAACATGGTTCGTAATTTTGCATACCTCTGATAAATTAATGTAGTATGAATTTTTATTTATTGTTTAATCTCTGAATGTAATATCTTTTTTATTAAGAAGAACTGTTGAAAGTTTTGTTATACTTCTTCCATAGTTATTACGTCAGTGAATCTTCACAAGCATAGTAGATTTTATAAAGATTGAGTTCTCTAGAGTAGTTGGCTATTCTTCATTAGGAGCACAAGGGTAGAGGTTAAAGAGTGTGAAAAATAAGTACAGGTCACTTGAGCAGCAAGTGTTTTTTGAGGCAGTTGTGGAAGACAGCCAGTCCTAAGTAAATAGTGTGTGTGTGTGTTAGGCGTTGGAATGGTCAAGAATGTGTTTAGCTTTTATGTAAATATATATGTATATAAAGAGGAATAACGACAACAATAACTTTAGACTAGGTTGAAAATATGAAACAACTTATTCACTAATATATGCAAACAATGAGGAAATAGCTTATTTAAAGGAATTCAAAGAAAAAGACTTTAAAAAGATTACGAGTAAAAAAAAAAAATATAGCAATAGAATAGAATAGAAATATGGATTAACCCTTACAGTTATAGAGAATGGTAATGGTAATTTTCAAAGGAATGTTAGGTAATTAACTATAGATTAAATAGTGAGTATGGAAGTAAAACAATTTTTAGAAATGTATAAAGGTCAACATTTCCAGGATCAAGATTGATGACATTTGGTGTTTCAATCTTCTTTAATTTATTTGTCTCTTTTTGATGTGAAACTGGTGTCTATACCTATGAACTTATAGTCATGAAGGGAGTGGAAAGGCATTTTAAAGTGTCATGCCACTGAAAATTCTTTGTTTGTGGTGATGGAAGATTTGTTATTGTTAAAACATTCTTGTATAATTGTGCTGGTTCTACATAATAGAAGCTGTGATATGGAACAGGTTTGGCAATGTTTGCTATTGCAAGTGTTTACTTTCACCTGGTGAAGGGTTAAATTTAATCTTTAACAAAGTAAGATTTTAAAGTTTTGTTTTTACTAAAGAAACTTGATTTTTAGTTGATCATTAAATTAAAGGAGGTAAGTGAGTTCCTTTAGTATTTATGGTAGTTTTTTTAATTTTGAGTTATAGTTGATAACCAATGGATCATGGGAGAGGTTGGTACCTGATGAATGTCTCAAGGCATTGTTGTATTAGATATTGGTAGCTTTGTCAGTTGGTTTGAAAGTGTAGTTATAACCTCTTTTAGTAAATTATTATTATTATTTTATTTTTTTTCAAATAATAAATGTGACTTTTATAATTCTTACTGAGGGTTAGGCTGAATGTAATATTATGTTTTTTGTCTCTAGATTAGTTCTGGTACAGGTTAGTGTAGAAAACCATGTTTTAAAGTCAGAGTTACGTGTATAAAGTTGATTTGAGTAGCAGAGTAATTTAAAGTAAATTTGATAGAACTTTGGAAGGAGTTAGTATGTCCACAAAAGGATAATAGGGAATTTTAATTTACAACCCAGAAGAAAAAATGTCATTAGTGTATCATCTACAGATCTTAGGTTTCTTTGTATAATGTTCTAATAGTCCAGTTTCTAAGTCTTTCATAAACATATTGGCATAGTTTAGTGACAATTTGGTACCCATAGCTATACCTTTTTTCTGAAAATAAAAAGTCATTACCTAAGAATAAGAATGAGTCTGCCTAAGTATGAGTGTCGAGTTCTGTAGCATTCGGGCCTTCATTTTGTGGATTGTTTGTGTAAAGGGAAGACACATTAATAATGCAAAAAAAGTGCATGTGTTTGTAGGGTGGGCCTTTACTGTTAATTTTACAGATCTGTTATGTCATGTTTTTGATATAAGATGGTAAACTTGAAGGGATACCTTTGATGTGGGGGTTGAAGTAGGTAGATAAGTATATCAGTAGGCATTGAAATAATAGGGCATACAAGATTGGTGTGTGTGTGTATTTCTGTTAATATGTAAAAATAATCTGTAGTGAAGTGTTTAGGTAAAAAGAGCTGTAAGGTTTTGCAACTGGTGTGTTGGTTTTTCTTTACATTGTTTAGTATCCTCAGTAGCTTTAATGAATTAAGAGTTTAGGGTTTATATATTCCTTCTTCATAGTAGTTAATAACATTGAGATTTCGGTAAGCTTTGATGATATATTCGTTTTTGTTAAAGGTGGTAATGATGCCACTTTTGGCAGCAGGATTAGTAACAATGTCATGTCTTAGTGAAGTTAGAATGGCACACTAATTATAAGAGAGACTGTTAAGTACCTTGGAATTAAAGTTAATGATGTGAATCTTTTCCTTTTCAATTGTAGTAATAAAGGTATTTAAATGTGGTTCTCTGTCGATTGGGGTGGTCATGTGATATGACTGTCAGTATTACTGGATTTGTTGTGTCAAAAATCCCAAAGACTTAGGCTGGGAGCAAATTCTTGTAAGTCAAAAATAATTTTGAAACTGCTTGGATTGTTCAAGGTAGGACAAAAGTTGAGACCTTTACTGAGTAGGTTAATTTCAACTTCGGATTATGTTATGGAGTAGAAGTTGGTGGTTTTGGAGCTGTTTTCAGATTATGGTTGCTTGGACAAAGAATTAACTGAATTGAATGAATCAAGAAAATAATTGTTTATAGGGATGTGCTCTGTTTCCTGCTGAGAGCTTGTGTTAGAGTTGTTAATCAGCGATTTGCAATTATTAACAAGGTGGGCTTATCTGTAAATATCTACTTCATGAATAAGATTTGGAGTTCAGGTCATTTTTTTATTTTTATACTGAATGGAAAGCTGATTGAGTGGTTACTTTTTCTTTACTCTTTGCATTTTTTTTTTCAAGAAATGTTTGTGTTTTGTTGATGAAAACATTAAGTTTTTTGTTCAGCAGGAAAAACGTATGTTCAAAATTTATAACGGCAATATTCTTGTCAAAATAGGTTATTATTTATTGCAGAAGCCATGTGAGTTCCATACATTTAATTGAGGTGAAGTGTAGAATGTTTCTGTTGTGAACAAAGCTGGTTGCTGTGGGCTCCTATAGTAATTGATGATTTTAAGCTTAGAGAATTAGGTACCATCTGATCTTGCACATTAAATTCAAACAATTTTATGTGACGAATGTATCTCAGGTGCTTTTCATTAACTTTATTAAGAGGTTTGAAAGGTTCTACAGTGTTAAAATTAGAAGAAAATTTTACAGTAGCGGAAGAGAGCGAAGTTGTTTGAAGGGTGGAAGTTTCTGAGAGAGTTCTTCATGAAGGAGTAGAGATAAAGGTGGTATCGAGAATTTCAGAAGGAATGTGGCATACAAGTATAGGTTCTTTGGGTTGTGGGATACTTGAAAAATAATGCTCCTGGGCTAGCAGAGATAGAGGAGAGTCTGGAAGTAGGGGGGTTGAGGAGTTTATATTGGATTGGATTAATCTGTAGGGGAGGTAGGATGTAGTTAATAACAAAGTCATGGAAGTTACACAAGAGCAAGATAGTTCCTTGGAAAGATGGGTATAGGACATTCCTTACTAAGGATTGTTTCCTAGTCTCAAGCGTGAAGTTAGTGAGTACATTAAACTTGTCAGTCAAGGAGTCAGTGGTACAAACTTATTGTGCTAGATGGGAAATCATTATGCCCATTGAGGTCTATTGGAATAATGGCCTCAAACTTAATCTAGAGTCCACATATGAATGTTTCAATGACTTACAAACCTTAATTTCTTATACTTTGATTCATCATACTGACCTGTGCCTCCAGTGTCATCTACTGTTGAAGGATAAGGTATTTTACAAACTGTGGTAGTAAAGTTATGGAGCCCAACCAAATTTTCAGAGTATTCTGTCTCTAAAATAGTCGTATGTCTGATTCCCAATTAAAATTTTGATAGCTGTGTTAAATGTTAATATTTAGTTGTACATATACATACTGTTTGATAGCTATGTTAATAGAAAGAAACTATCTATTTGTTAAAAATTGTTTGATTGGTACATATGTTAATATTTAGTTGTACATACATATATATATATATTGTTTCATTGGAATGTATATTAATATTTAGTTATTGTTTGATAGGCATGCTGAGTGCTACAGCTTCCCTCGGGCTTATATTATTATGGGATGTGGATGGAGGTTTAACACAGATAGATAAATATCTCTATTCTTCTGATGAACATATCAAGGTAATGAAGAAACTGAGAATTTATTGCAGTCAAATTGATTTAAAACAGTTGTATCACAAGTAATGAACAACAAAAATTTAAAACAACCTTTAAACCTACAGTATGGGAATATAGGTCTCCATTATAAACATCAAGTGTTTCAAAAATCCATTCCATTACTCAATTTAGTATACAATTAAAATATTTTTCAGAGTGTTAAAATCTTTGTTAAAAAAATAAGTGGTAAAACAAGTTGTTTACTATAGTCACCCTTTGTATTATGATGTTAATTACAAAAAAAAATCGCTTCCAAACAATAATTAATAACAATTTGTGAAACATACATTTGAACTTGGCCATATCGTATTTTCAAAGTAATAATCTAGTGTTAGTGTTTTATCACATCAATAAATTCAACTTTTTTTCTACAGGCAGGAGCCCTCCTAGCTTGTGGCATTGTCAGTTGTGGTGTGAGGAATGAGTGTGATCCAGCCTTGGCACTTTTGTGTGATTACGTCCTGCATAACAGCATGAATATGAGAGTGGGCTCCATTATTGGGTATGCTGTGTTAGCATTACACTTTTAGAATTTCTTTTAGTTCCTAGAACTATTGCATGGAAAATATTTTATTTAATCATAGAACTAACATATTAGGTTTTTAGCCAGTATTCTATCCAGTCCATTTTTTCGGACAGGCAGATGTTTGTCAAGATGAGCCAAAACTTGAACAGCCAAATAACAAGATGGGCAAAAAATATGTCTTTTTTTTTTTACCATTCAGTAAAGTATTAGACTCCTTCTGCTGTTCCTTCGGGTATTTTCGTCATCGATTCAATTGGTACGTTGACTACAGGTGTTTCAGCATTCGTGGTAGACCATATGGATCGCTGTTTTTGAAATACACTGTTCTAATCCACCTAAACACCACCTTGCTTGTGGGCCTACAAAATTTTTGGTGACACAGTTTGTTAACATTTGATTCATGAAAAAGAATTTAAACAAAATTCCTATTAATATTATATATAATCCAACTAATCGCTAGTCATGTTCCCTCTGTATTTTACGTAGAAAATTTGTAATTGTACTCGGTTGTTTTTGGTGATTTTTTTAATATTAAGTATTGTAAAAGGCATGAACATTAGATTATATGATATGATTCAGTATGTGGAGTCCATCAATAGTGAATCATATAAAAACAAGTCAGTAATTTGAGGATTAATTTGAATATGTTTTTACTTTGTTATATTTTCATAAAAATTCCATTTTTACTGTTTATCTTAAGTAGACTTTGGGAGATGTAATCAAATGAATGATAATATTAGTAAAATTAACTGTTGATAGAATACTTGGTGTGAAAATGTAAAGGTTTATAATAGATGCAATACAAAGTTATAGTTAGATATCCTTTCTTATATATTGTCTTCTGTGTATTACAGGCAGTATACTATGAAACAAATCAGCGTAAATAAATAACATTTTATTATGCAGTAGCATAGTGAGAGTTCTCAAAATAGTCTGCTACTAAATATATATAAAACTAAGTTCACTGAAAATTTGATAATTTTTTTTACCAGCTTAGGATTAGCTTATGCTGGTTCTAATAGAGAGGACGTACTAGGGTTGCTGTTGCCTGTATTGAGTGATTCTAAGTCAACAGTGGAGGTAAGTATAAAACTTTAAATCTTCTATTGTTTTTTCATTTTTCTTAGTTATTGCTTAGAAAAAGAAATTGAGTTCTATTAGAGAAGTGTAACCAATGAGAAAATTTTATTTTGTTACAACCAAATTATTATAAAGGATCGAACACTTTTCTAACATTTTCAATTATGGCTCCCAGAATTTTTAGATTTGTATACTTCCTGCCTAAAATACTAAAACTGTAATTTCATATTATTTTGATTTGTTTAATTTTTAAATATGTTTTAACAGGATATATAAAATATACTATACATTTTAGAAACTCTCAGCAAGTTTTCTCATGATAGTGATGCTGAAGTTACCCACAATGCTATTTTTGCTATGGGAATGGTTGGAGCTGGTATTTTTTAGATAAATATGGAAGTCTATTTTGTTACATAACACATTATTTTTCTAATGTAATCAATATCTGAAAAGGTCTCTGAAATTGCATAAAAGCTAAGGCTAGCTTATTAGAAACAGTGTAGTGACATAAGTGATTTGTACTCAAGGTAGTTGGAATGGCTGCTCTAGCATGTGGACTGATTGCTGTGGGATCATGTAATGGGGATGTCACATCATCAATCCTCCAGACCCTCATGGAGAAATCAGAAAGTGATTTAAAGGAGCCCTATGCCAAGTTTCTGCCTTTAGGGCTAGGACTATGTTATCTAGGTAAATAAGCATTATCTGTAATGGATATGTAAGGTGGTTTGTTTTATATAAATAATTAGGTGTTGAGTGGGAAGGTGATAACATCATACAGGTGCATGTGGCCAATGTTATATTATTGGTGGAGCTCTAGAATTTCACAAAAGTTCATTATGAACAGGTTGATATTTGTTTTTTTATTTATTTCTCTTGTGTTCTAAAGTGTATTCTACTGTATGATTCTAAGAAATGAGTAGTAATGCAAAATATGTAAATTGCAAAACAAAGAACCCAACAATCTGGGCATTTTTGGAAGGTTGACCATTCTTCTTCAGAAAGGTTTACTTCCCAAAAACATTTGTGTTATCAAGTTTCTTGTTTTGTGTGTGATATAATATCTGCTTTTTTAAACACAAATGGCTAATACTATAAATAAGCCTATTTTAAAAGAACACTTGTGTAGAAAACTGATATTTCTTTTGTATGTGTTTATAAATATTTTTCAGAGTCAGATACTGTTTTTTGTGTGCTGATGTGGTTCTTGTCATCTTTTATGAGAAAGTAAAAATCTTTGGAATAATCTTAAAATATCCATGAACAGACTTGATCTTAAATGTCCGATACTCGCTGATTATTGTAGACAATATATATAAATTAGTTATGTATGTAATTTATATTATTTGAATCTCCTAGGTAAACAAGAAGGTGCAAGTGGTGTTATTGCTGCCTTGGAAGTAGTGTCTGATCTTTCAAAGTATGGCCATGACACTTTTTCCTATGTTATGTATGTAATTTATTTTATTTGAATTTCCTAGGTAAACAAGAAGGTGCAAGTGCTGTTATTGCTGCCTTGGAAGTAGTGTCTGATCCTTACAAAGTATGGCCATGACACTTGTGGAGAGTTGTTCCTATGTTATGTATGTAATTTATTTTATTTGAATTTCCTAGGTAAACAAGAAGGTGCAAGTGCTGTTATTGCTGCCTTGGAAGTAGTATCTGATCCTTACAAAGTATGGCCATAACACTTGTGGACATTTGTTCCTATGTTATGTGTGTAATTTATTTTATTTGAATCTCCTAGGTAAACAAGAAGGTGCAAGTGCTGTTATTGCTGCCTTGGAAGTAGTACCTGATCCTTTCAAAAGTATGGCCATGACACTTGTGGACATTTGTTCCTATGCAGGTGAGCTTGTTACAGTTTTACATAAATAATGTTGAAAGCACATAATATTTTTTTTAAGGTAAATTTTGAGAGTTTTTATACATCCTAACAATTTACAAACTGTCTTCAGTTTTTTTTTTGAATATTTTCTAAAAGTGCCTTAAAATTATGATTTGGAATTTCTTCAGACATGAAACCAGATATAAAAAAATATGATGACATATTTATAATATCTAAGTGTAAGTTTTTATTGTGGGAAAGGTATATGCTAAACCAATGGTGAGCAACCTGTGGGTGTTATGTAGCCTCCTATGAGTCAACCTGGGGCCACCCTTACATACTAAAATGGTTTCTATATATATATATATATTGTTCATTTTTATTCAAATCTTATTTTTGGTATATGCTGTTAAAGGAATATTGTAGCCCTTGAAATTGTCTAAGGTTGCATGTGTGGCCCACAGACTATTTTAGGTTGCCCACCACTACACTCATCAATGGTAATTAAGAGAGAGATAACGTTTTTATATTGAAGAATTGTGCTTTATTTTTGACATCTCTTCCTCTTCCTAATAATTATTCAAAGTTAGCACTTTCTAGTTTACTACTGGTAAAAATACTTCCTTACTTGTTACTGAAAAATTGTGGGAAGAATTGTATATTTTAAGTTTCACTAATTTTTATTTCACCAGGAACTGGTAATGTCTTGAAAGTGCAACACTTACTACATGTTTGCAGTGAGCATTATGAACATTCTGAAAAGGTTGGTTTTTTTTGTGATTTATTTTTATAAAGTTCTAAAGTGTATTCTCTCCAAGATAAAAAAAAAAGATTTATGTATTTGGGTGTTTCAGTTAATAACATATTCAATATTAAATAAGACTTTGAAACTTTGTTTACATCATGTATGTGACCATCCCAAAAGTAACAGAAATGATAGAAGAATGCAATAAGAAATAGTCACGTACAACAAATACTTTTTCAAAATTCTTGATCTATAATTTATACAAGGTATCAGTTTTTACCTTTGCTTGTGAAGACCTTTGACAATGTATAGAAACACATTTAACATACAGTTGTAAATGATCTATGTCTGGTTAAAAATTTTGGGTTTATTTTGTAAAAAAAAGAATAATGTGAAGTCTAGTCCATTTATCTATAATGAATTCATTTTTTCACTTACATTTCTATTCAGGCTACATTCACTAGTAGGCCTAACTTTGCAAACATTTCAAAAAAAATCTAAAACTAAAAAATAATCTAACTCACATAAATCTGAAGTAACTTGCAAAATTTCCTCACTACTCATTCAATAGTAAACATCCAGACTAACTTTCTGATCAATAACTAACTTGATTGAATCATTCAAAGACTAACTTCATCACAGATTAACTCACACTAACTAAAACTCTTTAATTGACTCTCAGCTGATTGATTCTCTATAACTTTTATATTGCACCCTATTGCATGAACATTTGAGGCTTAAACTTTCATGAAACTTCTACACTTCATGTAAAAAATACCCTCTAGTGAAGAAACATATAAAGTATTAAAAATATAGCTTAAAACAGTACTTTAGATTGACATCTATACTTATTATTTAAAAATTTTTCAGAAAAAAACGTGCATGCTTTTTACATATACACCTTTTGCCATTAATTGTGTATTTTACCATTAAGATTCTAGATATACTTTCAAAAATACCTATAAAATTTCTTATCTCACCTTTCAGACTTTCTTAAATTGTGTATCAAAACTTGTGCTTCTTTTTGATTTTTTAAATCATTATTTAATTTTTATACTTGTATGATTTTGGCACTAAGGCCTGACTTAAATGTATGAGTTAAAGCTTTTAAAATATTGTAAAGGGTTTTAAGCTCATTAAAATATTGATAAAACCCCTTTTTCTACTTTTTTTTTTCAGGAAGAGAAAAAGGATGAAAAAAAAGACAAAGATGATAAGACAGAGGAGAAAAGCTCCTCTTCAGATCTGTCTTCTCAGCAGGCTGTGGCTGTGCTTGGAATTGCTCTTATTGCTATGGGTGAGGAAATTGGAACTGAAATGGCATTTCGAACTTTTGGTCATCTTGTAAGTTTGGTCTTTTATTGACATTTCCCTCTGTGGTTGACGTAGTCTGAATAATTAACCTAAACTTTTTTATTCAGATAATCTAGTATACAACTTACTTGAGTAGTGTTAAATTAGGATTTTTGAATTAATGTCATGAACGTAAATATATGAATCACTAATTATTTTACGTATTTTACAGGACAAGAAATAATTTGGAAAAATGATATATGCCTCAAATTTTTTTTATCATGGCAAAAATATACAGAAAGTTAAAATGAGATTTCTTTTACAGCTTCTTCTGTGAAGATTATTGTACATTGTAACAACTTGTGTGAATATTGTGAATCTTCACGTAAAAATTAAAGTGAAAAAGTTCCAGTAAATGTTTATTTGAATAATTTTCTTTAATTTACCTTAAAAAAATAACACCAAACAAACCATTATTAGGAAACATGAAAGTATTTATTTTTCTTTCAGCTTCGATACGGAGAGCCTGTAATAAAGCGAGTTGTACCTTTGGCCCTGGCTCTGATATCAGTGTCCAATCCTAAGCTAAACATTTTAGAAACTCTCAGCAAGTTTTCTCATGATAGCGATGCTGAAGTTACCCACAATGCTATTTTTGCTATGGGAATGGTTGGAGCTGGTATAGTAAATCATCTTTGTTGTTAAATCTTTTTTTACATTGTTTTTCTATATTATGTATCTTTTTTTCTATTTTTTTAACTGTCTCTAAGTTTGATAAAGCTAAGTATACGTTGCATTTTGAAGAACATGACTGTTTGACTTTTGTATGCCAGTTTTAATAAAAATGTTTTATTAGCTTATCTGACTAATAATAGCAGTTATGGGAACAAAACACTGACAGCTATTTTCTCCGTAGGAACAAATAACGCTCGACTCGCAACAATGCTTCGTCAGCTAGCGCAGTATCATGCTAAAGACCCCAACAACCTTTTCATGGTTCGTTTAGCTCAGGGTTTGGTTCACATGGGAAAGGGAACCCTGACTCTCTGTCCATATCACAGTGATAGACAGCTCTTAAGCCCAGTAGCTGTGGCAGGACTGCTGGCAACACTTGTTGCATTTCTGGACGTGAAAAACAGTATGTATGAAATATGCCATATTTGATTTCAGGTTTACTTTTCTATTATGTATTTAGTGACTTGTAACGTTGAATGCAGTAATATTTCATAGTGTATTTGATCAAACTTGGAATCAGGTTTCTTGTTATATTGTAGGTAAAAATGTAATACATTAAAGATGATAATATTAAAAAAATCCTGGACTGTGCTGCATGAGAGAGAGAAGTGAAACCCTTATAAGTATAGCTTATTTTAAATCTATACTGCTTCACTCTTTCTGAATGTAATAGGAGCCCTAGTAATAGAACAATTTTCTAATAGTTTTCTATTATGTTAAGAAGTTACAGTAAAAGTTAGGTTTATGAGAAAATAGCATACTAGAGAATGTCCTGATTTTATTTTAATTCAAGCTTTCTTCAAGCTCAGCACAGTGTGCTACCAAGAGCTTGTTTAAAAAGAATAAAATGTGGCATATTCTGTTTTATTTTTTTAGTTCCTTAGTTTACCCTCATTATGAGTGTGAAGGAATGTAAAAGTAATGTTTCTTGTCGAGATTAAAATGAGGTTTTTGTGTTTCTGTTTTCATTAAACTGAAAGATACAATTGATTCAGAAAACATTCTTACTGTCTTTATGGTCGTCTTCTTGATTATCATTGTAAGATGCTGGTTTGTGGTGCAATGTTTTAGGATAATAATCAGAAAAACCTCATGAAATCATAATGGTTTTGATGGGTAGACCTGTAGAAAATTTTTTTTTCCTTTTCTGAAAGAGATTTTCAAACATTTTTATCCTGTGTGTATTTTTATTATCATTATAAACATATAATGTAATTACAATGTTATGCTTGAAATGTTATTGCTGTCATTTGTGGAATGCAGATTTTGCATAAAATATGTTTAATGAATCAGATTTACATTGGTCAGTTGAAAAGAGATTGAATTTATATACAGATTATGTGTGTAACTTTAATATAGTTTTATAAATATTTCATCTCTTCACCTGTTAGGGTCCATGTACAAGCATTCTTTTTGGTATAAACAACTGATGTTCTTTTCTATTCTTGGGTGTGGAGGTTTCATGTATTTCTTAAATGTGTGGATCTGAGGGTCAAACAAATGATTTTTATGTATTTTGAAAGTAACAAAGTGTCCTAATGGTTAGCATGCATGGATTGTTAATCTGAGTTCTATATGGTTTTATAAAAGGATGGCAGATTTTTGGATATTAGTTTAACTCATGGTTGTAAAATTTATTTGTCTGGTGTTTCAATTAAATGTTTAATATTTTATATTTGATACGAATAATCAGTTTTGTGTGTTAGCAGTGGTCTCTCATAATGAGAATTTTTGTTTATGAGTCAGGAAATTAACCAATAAATTATTTCCTGTTTTACTGCAGCTGTTCTGGGGAAATCTCATTATGTACTTTACAACTTGGTTGCTGCTATGCAGCCTCGAATGCTGGTTACTTTTGATGAAGATCTTAACCCTTTGCCTGTTTCTGTCAGAGTTGGTCAGGTGAGCCTTTTTTTCTCGTTCTGTACTCTACTTTAAAATAATTATCACAGGATACTGTATGAATATTTTGGAAGATAAAGATTTGTTTTATTAGATTTTACTGTGGTGTTTGTTAGAATAAAAAAATTAAGAGTACAGAGTATTCTGATAAAGTAAGTTTTCAGACACAGATCATCACTAGAAGTATGATATATTTTAATCAAGTGCAAAATTATAACATCAATTACACTACTAGAAATGGCTTATTTCTTTAACACTGATATTATTATTTTTTGTTTAGGCTGTAGATGTAGTGGGGCAGGCTGGAAAGCCAAAAACTATTACTGGCTTTCAAACTCATACCACACCTGTTCTTTTGGCTTTTGGAGAACGAGGAGAATTAGCCACGGAAGAATGTATCCTTTGTAAATTGTTTGTGAAATAGCTTCCTTTGATTGAGGCTTCATTCCTCAAGTACTATTTTATATATACAAATAATAGTAACAGTAGGTGCAAGGGTGACGGTTAAAGTATGGAAGCCACAACCTTTTACAGACTGCCATTCTACATGGTATTATGTATTTGATGTCGCAGCTATCAACTATTTATATCACTCTACACTTCTGAGATAGAGAAGAGTAATTACCAGATATATAGTATACATGGATACTGAAAAAAACTGTAGATATGCATTTTGGGGGTTCTAGAGGTTATGCAAACTATATGATTAACAACATTTTTATTCTTTACCTGCACCTCAGTCAAACTAATATTGTCAATTAAAGATTTATATCTTGAGTACAAATATCTTTGTAACTCACCCGATTTTTTTTATGTAGAACAGACTTGTACATCTTATTAATAGTTTGCAACATTTTGTGTAGATACACATACTAAATTCAGAATTATAGTCAATATGGGGTCTGTGCATGTTTGGTTAAATAGTAGAGAAGAGGTAAATTAAAGGTTCAGTTAATTATAGATTTCATTCCTTTAATAATTTTTTTATAGATAAATAGAAGCACTGTTAAGAGTTGTAAACTTAGGTATTAATTGCACTAGCAAATGTAGTGGGTGAAAATACAAGATTCATTAAATTTGTTATGAGTAGGATCTGAAGGTTTGCTAAAAAAAAGTCATGTTCAGTACAGAGGAATCTTAATTTTCTCAGAGTTAAAAGAAAATCAGATTCCCAAGAAACTGTGTGTGTGTGTGTATATATAAATAATAGCTTACAAACTATTGATTACATTAATTGTTAATAGGTGATTAAATCAGCATTATAAGACAATAATGAATTAAATATCGCATTACCGTTATCGGTCCAGGTTGTCAACTTATTGTCATAATGGATAATGTCTGTGGTCATAGCACCCAAGTGCATTGGGGATAT